GTTGGGAGCAGGGGGCCGGCTCCGGCGACTCCCCGTCACCCAGTGCCCGTGGCAGGTACACGCTGACCGAGGGGGATTTCCACCATCTCAAGAACGCCCGGCTGACCCACCTCCACGTCCCGCCGCCCGCCCTCAGAATCGTCACCATCCACGAGTGTGAGTCGAGCGAGAACAGCCTGGCCATGTCGCCCCGCCTGCCCCCGCCCAAGCCCGGCCTCGCCATCTTCCAGGTGAGCCAGGGCTGGGGCCAGCACCCGCCCCCGGGGGGCAGGAGAGGGGGGCTCTGGGGGCAGTGAGGGCCCCTCCCGGGGGGGCAGGAGAGGGGGCTCTGGGGGCAGTGAGGGCCCGTCCCAGTGGGGGGCTCTGGGGGCAGTGAGGGCCCCTCCCGGTGGGGGCAGGAGAGGGGGGCTCTGGGGGCAGAGATGGCCTCTGCCGGCATGGGGTAGGAAGCACGTTGGAGGCAAAGACAGCCCAATCCCACCCCAGCTTCTGCCCTCTGACCCCTCAGTGGTTTCTCTGTGTCTCTGTCCCACAGCCCCCAGGGGGCACCCTGCCCCAGACAGCCCTGACCGCCCACGCCATGTGCCCCAGTTCTGCCCTGCCTGGCGACACCTACAACTCCACCGTGGACACCAGCTTTGCTGAAGCCAGCCCATCCATCTCCTCCTCCTCTGGGGAGAGCCCTTCGGTGAGTGCCCCCCCCCCCCCCCCCCAGACTGGGAGAGAGATCTCAGCACCCATGGGTGCTGGGGGAGCCGGGGGAGTGGGGGCAGGAGAGTGGAAGTGGTGGGGGTGGGGACTCTCTCAGCCCCTTTGCACCCCACACAGACTCAGCGTGCACTGGAGGGATGGCTTAGCAGGCCAAGCATTGGGTGCTGCCCCCCTCGGTTATGGATCCCAGGCAGGGCCGGCTCAGCTCTTCCCTGTCCCAGCTGGAGAACAGGGAAGGGGGCGACTGTGGAATCAGCCCAGGAAAAGCCAACGCCCCTCTGGAACCGTGAGGGGGAGCCCTTGGCCAGCTCCCCCCTCCCCCTGCCTGTTGTGCTGGGCACTGCCTGGCCCCCTCCCTCCCCAGAGGTGGCTGCATTTCTAGAGTTATGTACAGAGTTAAGCATTTTGATGGTCTTTGGGAGGCAGGGGCTTTAGTTGGGGTAGCGACCTCCCCCTGCAACCTGAAGGTTGTGGGACTGTCCCAGTCTTTATCGCGGTGTATGGACCCAGGGCCGGCTCCAGGGTTTTGGCCGCCCCAAGCAGCCAAAAAAAA